GTGTGACTCATTGTCCAGACTAAAGCCCCTTGGAAAAAATTGTTCCCCTCCCCCATCCTCTCCTACCACAGCGGCCAATGAATGCCACCCAGATGGAATTTAGTCCTCAGAGGCCATGAGATGGAGTTTACGTCCCCAGCTGGGCTGGTAAACCAGATGCCCGCTGGAGCAGGTGGGCAGGGGCTGCCTGACCGGTAGGACTGGTTCCTGGATGGGGCCCCTAGAAGGGAGTTCTCCATCCTCAAGTATACACACACACACACACACACACACACACACACACACACACTCACGCACTCCTCAGGTACAGGCAAGTTAAAACCAGCCATTCACTCTGAATATTTTCTGGGAGGAAAAATCAAACAAGCCCCTGCTCCCAGACAATTCCTTAGTTCCCGCCAGGCTAGCTAGAAAGTGGACGCCTACAGGGATCCTGCCCTCTCCCCTTGCCCTGGGGATAGGAGGCCCTGTGGCGGGAGGCACCAAGTCCCAGGAGATAAGGATCTGGGATGCTAAGAAAAGCCTTGTGCCCTGGTCCCGGGAGGCTGAGGAGCTCAGGCAGCAGGCTCCGTGGGGGTGGAGATGAGGATCAGACCGGCTGGAGCAAAGATGCACTTGTCCCAGCCCCTCCCTCAACAGCCATTCATGCAGGGAGAGTCATTGGAGGCGCCCAGCCTCCCGCCCCCAGAGAGGGCCCCATGCCTGGAGCCGGAAACACAAAGGGAGCCCAGGGAGAAGAATGGCGAGGCCTGGTGGCTGTGGCCTGAGGAATCCAGCCCCTTCCAGGCCCCGAGGAGGAGACAGTGGGGCTCCCTTAGTGCCAGGGGACTTCCCCACAGGAAGCGCAAGCAGCTCCATTTCAAAAGTCGAGTCTTTAAAACCCGCTCCTCAAACCAGAGGTGACCACGTCGAGCCCAGTGATTCCCCACCTGCACCCACAAGGCCCCCTCCTCCAAATCTTGATAAAGAATCGCCCCAGAAGCCAGGAAGAGGCCAGGCCTGGGGCGGCGCGCCGTTCTCACCTGGAGAAACCTTTCCCACAGCTCTGGCAGATGTAGGGCTTGCCCACAGAGCCGTCGTGGGACCGCACGTGGTAGGACATGCGGTCTTTCCTCTTGAACCGCAGTCCGCACACAGGGCACGAGTAGGGCTTCTCCCCGGAGTGGGAGAGCTTGTGTCGGTTGAGATGGTACACGTCGCGGAAGATCTTGCCACAGATCTCGCAGGCCACCTGCTTCCGGGTCCGACTCCTCTTGCGGGGGCCATCGGGGTCCTCGGAGATGGGCAGGCCATTCTCGCCCAGCCTCGGCGGAGGAAGGTCGATGTAGCCCAGCTGGAGGCTGGTGACGCCGTGCTGGGCCTCGTGCTGCCGAAGCCGGTTGGCATCCGTGAACACCTTCCCACACAGGCCGCATGGAAGGATGCCTGCCTCCCGCAGGCCCCCCGGGGACCCAAACATGGAGTCCAGCAGGTTGGCCTTCCTTGGACGGCCCCGGCCTCGCTTGCCAGTCAGGGGAGGGGCACTGGATGCCACATTGGGGAACGGGGAAGTCAGCAGTTGCGGGGACAAGGGTCCAGCCACCATGGGCAAGCGGTCCACCCCAGGGAGAACAGGCAGAGAGGCTTGGCTGGAAATGGCCGCACCTGCTGCCCGGGCCACCTCGTCCTCGGGCTGCATGCTGCCGGCTATGCCATTGCTGTTGGCGGCCAAGGCCGCCCCATTGGTCATGTCCAAAGGGAAGCCCAAGTCCGAGGTCCCTGGGGGGCGGAAGAGCATGATGTCTGCCCGCGCAGGGGGCACCAGGATCTGCACGTTGGACTGTTTGATGACTTCCTGGCAGATCTCAATGACGGACCTCATCAGCAGGAACTTGGCGGCAGTCATGAGCTCGGGGAAGCTCTCCAGACGCACGACAATGCGAGACGTGTAGGCGAAGTCCAGGATGTCCCCGAACACCTTGGAACTGATCGTATGCATCTCCAGCTCCCGGCTGCCCCCAGTCCCGCCGCCGGGGGCTGCTGCCGCACCCCCGACGTCGGCGGGACCCCCATCCCCAGCTCCACTGTCGCCCAACTGGGCACTGAACACCGACTCAAAGTACTCGCTGCAGGCGGCCAGGACGGCGCGGTGCGCTGGGAAGCTCTCGTCGCCCACCCGCAGGAGCACGTCGCAGAAGCGCCCGCCGTTTTTGCGCTGCTGGTTCAGGTTGTGCAGCATCTCCGTGCTGTGCCTGCTCACCTGGTAGGTGTAGCAGCCCGAGGGGCCACAGGAAGCGTCGTTCACCCGCTCCATGGCCTCGGCCCCCTCCTCACTAGCCAGCCCGCAGTACCTGCCCGCCCCCTCCCTTCCCCGAGGCAGCGAGAAAAGGGGTTCAGCGGACCAGTCTACACTCCCCACACGTGCCGGCCCAGGGCTCTGTGGTCTCGCAGGTGCGCCGAGCGCACACGCCCCCTGTCCGGCTAGGACTATCTAGAAGGCCAGGTGCACGACCCGCCACATTGCCGCCCCTGAACCCTCGCGACCGCGCGGTCCTCTCTCCTCCCGGTCCGCCCGCCTCCCCTTCTCAGTCTACCTTCCGGGGGGTACGCGAGAGAAGAGGTGCGCCCCTCCGGCAACCGCGCCTGCCACCTCCCCTCCCTCCC